CTAATTTAAAACTACAACTATATTTATAAAGACAACAAGAGTTATAGGTACAAATTTTGTGAAAGTTTCCATCTGCCTGGCTGGCATCACATTATGAGAGAAGCCACTGACCCAAGAGCTGTAAATTCAGATGCTCACCATAGCCAGATCTTTATCCACCAAGCAGAAAGTGACAGGCACTGAACTATTGCAAGGACTGGAGCCTTGGGTTGGGTGGAGTATTTTCTTGCAGCCAACTCGAGGCCAGAACTGCCCTGGTGAGATGTGGGGCTGCGGCTCAGTCTAGCAAGAGAAGCTGAACGTCACCCTGTTGGATGGAGGAAGCTAGCCATGCCAATGTGCTAATCTGTATGTGAATCTTTGCTTTGTAGGCAGGACCTCCTATCTGTTTTATAGTGTTTGCTAAATACCACTCAGTGGGAAAATGAGGAGCAATTTTTCTTTCAGTTTTGTCCACTTTCCGAATGGTTTAGAACTCAGCAGATGAAGGCCCTCTGCTGATTCCCGCCTGGATCCTTGTCGTATCTGTCCCCACTGTTTAACTGTCACATTCAGCTGCCAGCTTCACAGATAGAAAGGTGGAACTCCCTCGTTTCTCTAGGAAAATCCCTAGAACCAGGAAGTGTGTGTGTGTGTGTGTGGTGTGGTGTGTGGTGCGTGGTGTGTGGTGCGTGTGTTTCCCTAAAGTCATTCTCCTTGTTTAAAAACCTCTCACAGAGAGATAAATGAATGGTGCTCAGTGTGGCTCTGCAGATGAAGATGAATGCAGGCGACTTGGGAGTTTAATATTTAATAACATTTATATATGACATTTGGGAAAACTTGAAAAACAAAGACACTGTGATAAATAAGATTCTGGCATCCTCGTCACTGATTAAGTAATGAGTGTTCTTGGTACATAAGTTAAGAGATAATTTATTACACAAGCACACAGAGCTCTAGACACTGCATCTGTAGGTATGATGGAGAGCATTTTGTTTATCCATCCCTTCATCTGTTTCCCTTGTGTGGAGCTCTGTGGTATAACTGGTATGACAGATGGTAGGACTGCCTGTCTCTACAAAGAATTGCATTATCTAAACCCAACTGCTCAACAGTAGGCAGTCGCAGTTGGGTTGAGTGTACTGGTCCAAGGTTCTCAGATAATTTAATTCTGTTTTCATGGTTCCACTGTTGAGTATTTCGTGTTGCCCATTCAGGGAATGGTGGCAAAGGGCAGCAACACAAATGAGGTACAGACTCTTGTGAGATGGGTGTTGGCACACGGCCTGCCTGCCGGAATGATGGAGGGCAGGAAACAGCACTGCTGTGGTCTTTGGGTTCCTTTATTGCTTAGTCACACATCACAAACACAGCAGGCCTGATGAGTGGAATTTTTCTACTGATGAAACTCACAACTTCTCAAACCAATTAAATAATCAAAGGCTCTAATTTTCATTCACTGCTAATTCTTTGCTGGACGTTTTCTCAAGCAGCATGTCATTGCAACAAATGCCTGACAATCTTTCTGCATACCGAGAGGGTGGAGTACAGGCCATGTAAGTGATTTATAACTTAATAATGGAATTACCAGGTAATCTCTCTGTACTCTGTGTACTTTCTCTATGCCTGAACATACAGGCTTGGTGTTTCTCCTTTATCGGTTTTTCATCTCCCATTAGCATGTGAATGCTTGCAGGCACGGATGTATCTGTATTTCACACATAAAATGATCCTAGCTGTGTGGATTAAGCACCTTGAAAGGGTGCTTAAGAGCCCGTGAAGTTCGTTGTGATGATGCTTTCCAGGACTGAGCTCATTAAGATGCAAAGAATCTGCTCTTGTCAACTTGGGATTACCTCACAATTAGCAACCAAAGACTCAGTTAATTTTTTGTTTTTGTTTTTAATTTCTTTTGTTTTTTTAGTATTTGGTTGTGGTTGTTGCTTTCTTCCTACGAGGTCTCATTCTGTTGGTCACCCTTGTCTGGAACTCACCACGAAGCTAAGGCTAAGGTCTAAACTGAAAGTAATCCTTCTGCCTCGATTCTTATTCTGCTTTGTATTAAGTCCATGGTTAGTATGAAAGAAGTAAAAGATTAGCTCTCTGCTTTTTTTCTTTTTTCTGTCTGTCTGTCTGTCTGTCTGTCTTTCTTTTTTTGCTGTGTCTTCATTTTTTATTTTTTCAGACAGTTGGCCTCAAACTTGTTATGTAATCAAGATTAGCTTTGGTCACTCGGTCTTCACATCTCTCCCTCCTGAGTGCTGCAGTTTGCAGTGTTAGACGCCACACCCAGCTCTGCTACCTGCTCATGGGGAGCAGGTATTCAGACCTGGGAAGGAAACACCCAGACATGCCTCTGATTTGGGGAGCCACTGGTTGCCTCCTTTGGGCATGCATCTTCCACCCTTTTGCAAGGAATCTCTAGAGATTGTCCCCAAGATTCTGAGTCTTGGGATCCCCTGCCTGAATGTCTCCAAACTCATGAAGATATTATCTAGTGTCTGACACTTGAGGACACAGCAGGGCTCAGACATGTATTCTCTGCCTGCAGGTTAGGTGCTTGTAGGTTGGTGAGAAGCTAGGTCTTGGATATAGCCTGGGAGTAGATGAGGTTGCCTTGGTATGGGATGGAAGAGGAGGAGAGAGATGCTGTGTTTGGTTGCCAGATTTTATTTGAGACTTCTCAGGAGTACCTGAACTCCTAGTGTAAGCCTGCTGTTCTGAGGGACCACGAATGCCATTTTTCCAGCTTGAGAAACAGGACTTTTTTCTTTAATCAAATTGACCAATACTCTTTTAATATTTAGGCCTGGAGTTGGTGGACCTCCATGCTGAGCTCTCGTTCCAAACCCTATACACGTTCTCTGGGACAAGATACACTGCCAGCTCCTAAGAGCCTTCCATCCCCTGGGGAGGGGGATCAGCTCTGTAAACACTCTTTGAAGCTGTCGGGGGCGTTTGTACATGGCGTTTTCTGCTTGAGACTGCAGGAGTGCTCACACGCGGCTCCATTAACAAACACCCAATCGCCTTAGTTCCTTACGTAAAACACTTTAGACTGAGTGGTTTGCTTCAGCTGAGTGTCTCTACACCCACAGATGCATAATCAGGTGACAACAATTTCAAAATTGCAGGTCTCCATGTTGATGGAGAAATGGGAACTTCAGTGCTCCTCACGTGTGATTTTCACCGAGAAATGGAGGAATTTCTGGCTTTAATGTCAACACTTGGAGATTTACTGTAACCCTGTTACTGGAAATATATACCTTCAGCCAAATCTGCACCTGCAACGGTGGTCACATCATACTTCTCCTCTCACCCACACCCCGGTCCTGAGAAAGGATCCAGCTCCCAATAGGACTGGAAGGACCCTCTGTCTCCTGGCACCTTGCTCAGCAGCCGGGGCTGCCTGGGTTATCAGGGAACTCACTCTGCTGCCTCTTAGGGTACTTGGTAGGGAGGAGCTGGGACAAAAGCAAGAGGGGCTGGGTGGGGTGCTCTTCCTTGATCTCCAACCCAGCATGGAAGAAGTTCTGTTCCAAGCATCTGGTCCCACAGGCACCCTGCCTGACTCTCCTCAACACCCCCCAAAAGGCTTCCTGGCCGTGTGCTTCTAAGGAAAAGAAATTCAATTTGATTTTATTTTGAAAACATAGAGAGGATGTTAGGCGACCCTTTGAGGTGGATAATGGGTGATACTCTGCGGGCCTTGTAGAAACAGGGATGAACAAGTAGGCCAAGACTTACTGGAAAAGAGCCTTTGGCCCCATAAGTTTCCTCAAGTTCTTAGTAATTTGTCCCCCAGATCATGTTGAGTTACATTAATGAATTAACCATGTGGTTTTTAACTTCTTCTCACTCAACTCTAGAAGCCTTTCCTCTCTGGAGAATGAGCCGTGGTTGGGCTGTGCTCGCTCTTAAAATCAGATTTTAAACGTTTACTGCTCTAGATGCCTCCCAATGCCAACCATAACCATAAGTGGTCGATCATTTCAGACAGTTTTTGCTGCACAATAAGACTTTCCCATGATGAATTCCACTCTCAGCCGCCCCACTGAGGCGGTGGCGACAGCTCCTGGAGAGCATCGGGTATAGTCGGTGGTGTTTGTCTCTTTGAGGATGCTGTATGCAGGGGCTAGGGTGGATCTCTAATAACTGTAATTTCATCTGTCCCATTTTCTCCAGTGCCGGCTGGGAGGCCTGCTGTGTACCCTGCCATTAAGTTCAGTTAGCACTGAAGTTCCCAGGGGACAGCTGCAGGTATGGAAGGCCTTATAGGTACCAGGTCAGACCCCAGACAAAGACCAGCAAATGGGTCAAGTAAGATTTCCTTAGAGGGAGCTTTGGGTAACTGGTTTCTGGCAGGAAAGCCCAGTAGTTCATGTGTGTGCATCTGTGTACATGTGTGCATGAGGGGGCCAGTGGTCAACCTCAGGTGTCACTACTTAGGAGCCATCCACCTTTTTATGAGACTGATATAGCCAGTGAGGCTGGCCAGCCACCAAGCCTCAAGGATTCAGCTATCTCTATGTCCCCAGAACTGGGACATAAGCACAAGCTACCACACCAAGCTTCTTTGTGTGAATTCTGGGGGCCTACTCAAGTTCTTGTGCTTGAGAGGATTTTGTTAACTGAGACAGGCTGGGGACTAGCTAGAGGTCCAGGCTGGGATCTCAGGACCTGCTCTTGAGGAGCTAGGCCTGCATAGTTTAAGCTGGAAAAAAGAGAAACCAAACTGTGTGCCAGGAAGAGCCTGGGGCATGTGGCAAGATTGCAGCCTGGCTTCAGGTACTTTAGTGAGGCTGAGGGCTCTCCTGACTGCATAGGCTTGCCTCGGCTCTGAAAGGCTGCTAGGGCAGTCGGCTTTTCCCTAGGCCTCCTACAGCTCTTTCCATGTCAGCACCCTATTTCAGTGTCTGGTTCACTCTGAATGGTTCACAACTAGCATGCTACAGTGGGGTGCTTCACTCCGGAGTGGCTGAACAGACCACCCTCTCACATTTCTCTGTGTTCTGCAGACAGACTGTGCCCTATGGACTATCCAACTACAGAGGAAGCCTTCGGGGAAAGAGGTCCTCGGGGCCAGTTCCAGAAAGCTCCCAGCCTTCTCTACCGGCACGCTTGCGTTGTACTTGTATGGGAGCAGATGACAAGGCCTGTGCATACTTCTGTGCACGCACTGCAGATGTCACCAGGTATGACACAGCTCCTAGTCCCACTCTTGTCTAGGCACAAATCACTGATGGGCAAAGCTAAGTCAGGCCCTTCACAAAGGTGAGTAGAGGGTAGCTTAGCCAGGTCCTCGATCTTCCTTGCCTTTCAGAACACAGGCCACAGCCACAGTCTGTAGCTATGTGAACAAACCAGAAGGAGTTGGGAACATTTAAAGACTGAAGACCCCAGCCATCTCCGTGTTCATTTTTAAGTTCTTCACAAAAGGCAAGCAAGAGTTTATAATCTTACTGCCTCATATAAAGGACTCCTTAGCCCGGGCTTTCGATTTGTTTTCTGTGTGGCCCCTGAGTCTCTCCTCTGAGTCTGCATGGTCTTCTCAACTGCACAGAGAAGCACATAGATTCATTCTGAGTGGTAAGCCACCCTACTTGCCCTAGGGTGGCCACCTGGACCACTGTTTCCCTAGGGTAGGTGCCATGAAACTCTTGGTTCCTCTTTCCCTTCATATTGGGCAAAGACTCATCAAGCCAGCCAGAAAGGGCAGCCTGTCAGCCGCCTGAAGGAAGGGCTGAGTGTGTGGATAAAACTCCTGCATTCCCCTGTATGAGCTTAATGAACTATCTGGGCAGGGTGGGCCCAAAGCAAAGCAGGTACGGTAGCCTTGGGGCTATGTAGTAGAATTTCTCCCTAATAAATAAAGACTAGAAACCAATCACTGGGCGATCTGGAGAACCTGGGACTAGCTGTACTCTTGTTCTCCCACCTGGGGTGTTGAGCACCCGATGAGTAACTGAGGAGTGTGTTTGGTACTCAGACATCCACCCACTGAGCCTCCAGTCCTACAGTCAGTGCCTAGCACTTGGTCCTTGGGGGATACACACTAATGTGCTTGTTCTTTGGGAAGAGGAAGTCATAATTTGACACCCCCAAACCCAGCCACACAGAAATGCTAATCCCTGAAACTTGCTATGTCCCCACAGTTATTCCAGGAGAGCAGAAAGGCCAGCTGCCGAAGAGAATCGGGAGACTGGAAGCCCACATCGAAGGTGAAGACAGGATACATTCATTCAGGGGCAGAGGGTGGGTGGAGAGCTGGCATCTGGTCTCAGTAAGTGCCCCGTGGGACTCCAAAGCTCACAGTCGTCCCTACCAACAGACAGAGACATCTCTTGGTCTGTCAGCTCTGGGTGTATTTGGTCATTGTCATCTTCCTGGTCCTGAATAACCCTTTGTGGTTTTGGAGTACCTCCACCCTGTGTCCCTCTTACCTCCAAGGAGATGACCACCAGCTTGGCTCTCACTGGAATGGTGTTTGCATAGCTCCACAGGCTGAGCTGATCAAGCCTACCTTGGCCTCTACTTCTGTAACCAAGTGATTCCTATTACGTCATTTCTTCTTTATAGAAGTGGGTGTGCCACATGGGCAGTCCCCTCACCCCCATCACTTCCAGCTCATTTTGTTATTATTTTAATACCTATCTCATTTTGTTTGCTCTGTGTGTGTGTGTGTGTGTGTGTGTGTGTGTGGCATTTTCTTTGGGTTTTTTTGGTATGAGCAATCCTGAGGGCTTCCTGAAACCAAGCTGGGCTTATTTGTCACTCTGTTTGTCAGTCAGAAGTCATTATTGATGATTCAGCCGCACGTCTGCAATGGGACGGTAATTGTCGTTCATAATAATAGCCTGAAGGCGGCTTCAGTTCCTGCAGGGAATGATCAAGGGAAAATTAATCCAAGCCCTGCATAAAGAAGCTTCTCAAATCCATAAGATGGCTTCCAGTGGTTGAGAGAAAATGGACGGAAACAGAGAGGCTGAGGGAACGGCATGTCCTCAGAGAGCCCCTACCCAGCCTCCCCTTCACTCTTTCCCCACTTTATCACTTTTTGGTATACCTTAATCAAACTTACGTTGTCGAGAACAGGCAAAGATTAAAGCTATGCATCTCTCGTATAGTTTATTAATTGACATGTGTGTTCATTTAGCCGAGGTTGGTGACATACCTACTACACGCTGGATCCTCACTATTCCTGATGCGTAGAGGAAGACGCAATGTGTCTTCTTCAGTTTATTTACTGGTGGAAGCAGACAGCAGATAAATATATACAATATAAACTGAAGGAAATCTGGACAGTAGATCAAGGATAGAAGAAGTGGGGGTGCTGTTGTTTGTCATTGGATAGACAAGAAGCCATCTGTGACCTTAGCACAAAGACCTGTAGGAGAGAAAATGTGAGCTACTTGGATGTAGGAGGGTGAGGTGTTTCAGGCATGGGGACTAGGAAGGAGGAATGTCCTGGGACCTAGCCAAAGAATGGCCATCAAAGGTTCTCTGTGCCAAGAGAGCACACGATGCCTCCCATAATGCTGCTGTTGGGATTGCTCTGTCACATGACCAAAAGATGAGCCTGAGATGCTGAAGAGACACTCAACTCTAAAGGGCTTGTTGATCCCTAGTGCTCCCACAGAGAGTTGGGTGTGGTGATCTGCTCTGTGCAGGTAACTCCACAGCTGGGATGGCATATAAACAGGAGCTTGAGGCTCTCTGGACACCTAGCCCAGCCGAGACAAACAGCCCCAGGCCCCCATGCTAGACACGTGTGTGTGTGTGTGTGTGTGTGTGTGTGTGTAAGTGTATAACCAGAGACACACTCACAGAATGGGAGCTACTACCATCCTTGGCTTGTGGTTATCAAAGAGTGAGACAACCGAAGGCCTACCAGTGGCCACTTCAGTTGCTGTAATCCTTTTCTCACTGTTGTGCTCAGCCTCTGAGCTGGCTAAGCTCTGATGAGGGGGAGCTTCCAGGTAGGAGGTAGCTAGAGGTGTGGCCAAGGTCACCTCTTTAAACTAGAAGAGCTGGAGTGCCGACATGATATCCCTCTTTTTCCTTTGTTCTCTTTCATTGAAATAGGTTGAAGTCAAAGACGGATAAAGCCCACCAGTCTTAGCTGGCTTTAGCGGGTCACAACTGATGCTTCTTGCTTCCTGCAGTGGACTTCCCCCTGCTCTCCCTGCCTGCCGACTCTCTTCCAGGAAAGAGCCTTTGAGCTTGTGCATACAGAGCTTGAATTTCCACCTCTTTAGGGACAAGGAGGGAATTGGCCTGAGGCAAAAATGAAAGAACGAAGGACCATCCAAAGAGCCCCCCCCTCCCCACTTACCCGACTCTAAGAATGCCCAAGTCCAAAAGACCTCAGCTTCCCTAATGGGTAAAATGATCCCACATGTGCCCTGGGGGCCAGATGCCTGAGGCTCCAGTTTCACAAGGAAATTGTTTGGAAGGTATGTTAAGTCAGAAAACTACTTACTGGCTTTTGACGTGACTCCTCTTGGAGAGTAAGTGGACACCAGGCTGACTCTTTACAAAAGTAAACACGCATCCATCTCCTAGAAGATTCAGGACACCCATGTGGCGGGAGCAGGCCTCTCCTGCAGCCTGCATGGCCTGTGCAAGTTAGAGAGACATCTGTCTGCTTGAGACTTTGGTCCTAACTGGGCAGTAGTCTATGAATTTGAAGTGCATAAGGATTTAGAAACCTCCGCTATGCTTGGTACTCCTCAGAAAAGCGGCTCTCGAAAACAAGAAGGAAAAGAATACAAGAGACCTGGATGTTCATGAGACAAAAAGAGAAAACAAAACAAAACAAAAACAACTCCCCCCAACCCCGACTCTTGATGGTTTTGAACTCTGGGGCACTCAAGAAAGAGCTGGGGGTTCTGCAATGGCCTCTGAGGCAAAGCTCAACCCTGCCTTGCAGTAAGTTGCCCTGAGGGACAGCTCCAGCTCCAGGCTACCGGTCTGGATATCTGTTTTCATGAATAAATGTGGATCTTTGGGGAGTGGCTTCAAAATAAGCCCAAACCACAAACTCTTTGTACATTATGTAAATTCCTGTTTGTCTATATAATTGGCAACAACTGGGAATTGTAACCTCTGTTCAAAATCTCTTTGAGCGGAGCTCTTTCTGCAGTGTACATGGTGAGTCTGGGGGTGGGATGGGATCAGACTGTGAGTTCCCATGTACACTCTGCTCTGCAGGCCCAGCTGGGACAGTCTGCCCACCTCTCCACTGGGCCTCACAGCCATGAGAACCTGCCTTTGGGTATGTTCCAAGGGCACCATGCGGAGACACTTTAGCTGTTGTGTGAAGTGGGGCCTTAACCAGATGGTAAACTTCAGAGGACCGGCTCCTAAGTTATTACAGGTGTGAACATGGCTGCTTATTGGGGGGGGGTGAGAGAGTGGTGGTCTGCTGGAGGGAATGTACAGTTATGAGAAGTAATTATTTATTGGGGAACTATTTTCTACTTAACTTCTTTATGGGATCTATTAAAAGTAAAGGCACTGTAGATAGGTAGATAGACAGAAAAAAATAGATTTTAAATTGTGTTCAAAAAATCCAAACGCATATCTCTTAGTAGCTAGAACTCGTTTAAGTCTCACAAACACTATTCAGCTCACTGACCAAACTGTATCTCAAAGACAAATCCACTCACTGTGAGAACACTTGGGAGATAAGTCAAATGCATAATAATAAAAAAAAATCTAAAACTTTGCTCTGGTTTGTGGGCTTTTCCTTGCACACGCAGTTACACATTCACTCTGCATAGGCCTCTGGAGACGTCAGGAGGGAGCCAGAGTTCTGGAAGTAGGATTCATCTAGAGAGGAAAGTGTATCTATGGGCAGCTATTGAAAGAAGAGGAGTTTGTGGACCATCTGAGAAGATGAACATCAAAGTGGCTGGGAAGGAAGAGGAGGAGGGAGAGGAGGAGGAGAAGGAGGGAGAGGAGGAGGAGAAGGAGGGAGAGGAGGAGGAGAAGGAGGGGGAGGAGGAGGAGGAGGAGGAGGAGATTTGGACACAGTTGGGGACTTCCTTGGCATGCTTGCTCTTCCCCTAGCACCCTACACAACCTTTGCAGAGAGACAACCACGCACCTATTGCTCAAAGCATCTGAGAATTATCTCCAGAGGTGACCACAGTAGCAAGGCCACACGGGCCATAAAAGCAAAAGGGAGGGAGGCTGTTTGATAAAAAAGGAGGGAGAAGGTACAGGAGGATGGAGGGAGGGCAGGAGAGGGCAAGGGGATGAACGTTGTCAAAATATTAATGCAAACGCCATTGTAAAAGCATCACTTTGTATGATCCATGCTAATAAACTTTTTAAAAAGATTCTAAAGCATCTACAGCAGCGGTTTTCAACCTGTGGGTCACAACCCCTTTTAGGGGGGTGGTCACATATCGGATATCCATATCAGATATTTTTATTGCTATTCATAACAGTAGCAAAATCACAGTTATAATGTTGGCCCGAGATAATTTTATGGTTGGGGGTCACTACAGCATGAGGAACTGTTTTAAAGAGTTGCAGTGTTAGGACGGTAGAGAGTGTTGGTCTGTATAGTCTGGGTGCAAGGATTCTCTTCCCTGTCTCTGTGCTCCCATTTTGAATCCAAACCCATACTGCTAGAGACCATCATGAGAAGAGAGCTGGACCAAGACAAAGACACAGAAACACCCCTCCCACTTACCCCCACCAAAAAACGCTTTGTTTGAAGTAGGCTGGATCACTATCTAATCTGAGAAAACCCAAGAGCCTCTTGTTTTAATTAAACTCATTTTAGAGAATTTTGACTCTGATGAATTGAGATGGTTGAGTACTAATTTATTCAGCAGGATGTGCAGCAGTACACAGCAGGGACATGGTGTTCCTGGGAGGCGCTGATGGGGCCTGGCGTCCTTCAACCCTTGGAAAAGCTTCAGGGCACAAGAGCAAACCGGTCAGTAGGGCTCGGAGCTTGGTGTACATAGTCTGGTCCAGCACAGGCTGGGCTTTTCTGCATCAGGGAGGAGCTGTGGAGGACCCATTCACAAGGAGGGTGGACAGGGCTGGCTACAGATTCTATAGCACCCCAGTTCAGAAGGGTGAAGGATTTTAAGATGGCCGCAGCAAAAAGCCAAACCAAATTTGCACTCTTCTGAAGGGCTGCCCGGGTGGTCTTGCATCTGGAGAGTAGGGTTGGCTACAAACTTCCATGTAGGACTCACTTTAACCAACTGTAGCCTCCGTTTCTTAATTTCCAAAACAACTGTAGCACTCGCTCTGCCTACATGCCAATCAAGGCTTTATGTCTTCAACCCCACCCAAAACAAGGCAGCAACTCCCTTCCCTCACTTGTAATGTGTGTACTTGTGTATGTGGTGTGGGCGTGTACATGTATGAGCATCTGAATGTGCACACAGGTGCCTAAGGCCGGAGGTAGATGACCGGTGTCTTCTCGAGTCACTCCACCTATTTCTTGAGGCAAGGTTTCTCACTGAGCTTGGAGCTCACTAAGTGGTCTAAGCTAGCTGGCCAGCTAGCCCACCCACCATGTCTGCCCTTCTGTGTGAGAACTGGGAATCTGAACTCAAGTTCCTGTGGTTACATAGAGAACACTTTACTCGCTGAGCTGTCCCCAGCTTTGGTTTCTTTTGTTTTAAAGGAAAACATTCTCAGAGGTGCATACCTTTGAGTTTGGAATGTATATTAAAGTAACTGAATTACTTACGGTATTGTCAGAGTCATCAACGCCCCCCCCCCCCGGGGGGGGGGGGTGGGAGGGTGGGCAAATCCCTGGATTATCTGATATGAAAACTTTAGTATATAAAGCTCATGTAATTCAAGCTGCCTGCCCTTGGAGCTTACAACCATCCCCACCCCACCCCAGCCTCCCCCCACATCCCCCACCCACCTCTCTCTCACTACAGTCTGAGTGGTATTCCATGTAGGGAAATTATAAGACTTAGTGTCACTGAACACAAGGCTCCTTCTGCTAGGTGTACCTCATTAACCCTCCCAGCATTCCAGAACAAGGTCCCAAGGCATGACAAGAGCTGGGCTGATGGATGCAATCCTGTGGGGCTGGGAGGGTACCCCATGGCCAGGAATTGACTACCTGCCCCTCCACCTTTATCTTCCCCGCCCCCCTCTCTCCCTGCCCTTTTGCCATCTTGAGTGGATCCATCATAAGCTACCAAACATGAACACTCTACTAGGACTATCCACATAATAGATAGGAAACACCAGTGCCAGGTTTGCGCTCAGCACTGGAGAAGTCTTCAGTAGGACACACGAGATTGACAACCTTTGCGGGACCATCCTGTCTCTTTCGAAGCTTTCTCTCCTATTGCCAGTGAGGAGCCCCTGTCTCATGCTCCTATCTGGATGTCATAGTGAATGCTTCCTTTGCCTATGCATTTGTCTTTTTAGTGTGTGTGGGTTTACATGTGCCTGTGTGTTCACAAACACATGAGGCCAGAGGTTAACCATGGGTGTTTTTCCTTGAGATACATTTCTCCCACCCCACACCCACATCCAACCCCACCTTTTTTTTTTAGACAGAGTGTTTTAGTGGTTCCTGATTAGGCTGGGCTGACTGGCCAGAGGACTCCAGGAAATCTGTCTATCCCTGTGTCTTAGTTAGAGTTTTATTGTTGTGAAGAGACACCATGACCACAGCAACTCTTATAAAGGACAACATTTCATTGGGAGCTGGCTTTCAGTTCCAGAGGTTTAGTCCATCATGGTGGGAAGCATGGCAGCATGCAGGCAGACATGGTGCTGGAGAAGGAGGTGAGAGTTCTACATCTGGATCACAAAGGTAGCAGAAAGAGAGAGTGATACTGGGCCTGGCTTGGGTATCTGAGACCTCAAATCCAGTGACACCCTTCCCCCAATAAGACCACACCTATTCCAGCAAGGCCACACCTCTTAATAGTGCCACTCCCTATGAGCCGATAGGGACTATTTGCATTCAGACTTTCAGATCTGCCTTCATGGCTCTGGGATTACAAGAAAACACTCTGGGTTCTGGGAGATGGAAGCACTTTAACTATCAAGCTATCTCACAAGCCAGTGTCCTGGCTTTGGATGTATATGGGACTGGAAAGGGGACAAAGAAATAAAGATAAGTCCAATTCGTTCAGCACTTCATATCTTGCTGATGACTGAGAATAGGAGCTGAAATAGTCATACCAGAAGAAGAGATCTTAGCCCAGTATGGGGATGAAGAATCTCTTAGGATTGATGAATAACAGCCAAACAAACCGTGCAGGACAGACATTCTGAGAAAGGGATGCAACCTCTTCAAAGGTTTGGAGAAAAATAGGGTTCTGGGTCCTTCAGGGGCCAGTGGGAGGTAGAGCATAGCAGAGTGAGGTGAGCAAGAACAGGGAATGG